CAGGAGAGGACTCTTTAAAGTAGAGACACTGCATACTGATATACACCTGAACATCAGCAGGAGAGGACTCTTTAAAGTAGAGACACTTCATACTGATATACACCTGAACATCAGCAGGAGAGGACTCTTTAAAGTAGAGACACTACATACTGATATACACCTGAACATCAGCAGGAGAGGACTCTTTAAAGTAGAGACACTACATACTGATATGAACCTGAACATCAGCAGGAGAGGACTCTTTAAAGTAGAGACACTGCATACTGATATACACCTGAACATCAGCAGGAGAGGACTCTTTAAAGTAGAGACACTACATACTGATATACACCTGAACATCAGCAGGAGAAGACTCTTTAAAGTAGAGACACTACATACTGATATACACCTGAACATCAGCAGGAGAGGACTCTTTAAAGTAGAGACACTACATACTGATATACACCTGAACATCAGCAGGAGAGGACTCTTTAAAGTAGAGACACTACATACTGATACACACCTGAACATCAGCAGGAGAGGACTCTTTAAAGTAGAGACACTACTGATATACACCTGAACATCAGCAGGAGAGGACTCTTTAAAGTAGAGACACTACATACTGATATACACCTGAACATCAGCAGGAGAGGACTCTTTAAAGTAGAGGCACTACATACTGATATACACCTGAACATCAGCAGGAGAGGACTCTTTAAAGTAGAGACACTACATACTGATATACACCTGAACATCAGCAGGAGAGGACTCTTTAAAGTAGAGGCACTACATACTGATATACACTTGAACATCAGCAGGAGAGGACTCTTTAAAGTAGAGACACTACATACTGATATACACCTGGAAATGTGCATTATGTGTCCTCTTTAAATGTTTTCTGTTGCTGACCTCCATCAGCAGAGGGCAGCAGCTCCTCCACTGCCCTCTCCAGTTGTTTTAAGTGAGTCAGCACTCTGCAGTGTTTCTTCCCCAAAGCTGTAATTACACTGCTCTGCTGCTGCTGCTGCTGTGGAGGTGAAGTTGAGCTCCGCCTCAGGACCCCGTCGCTCTCTGGCACGGCATAGGTTAGACAGCGGTGAAACTGCATTACTCATCCTGCTGCAGAACTGAGACAGGCAGGTTTGGAAGGAGTGTAAATCAGACTGAGATCCAGCTGCAGCTCAGTGTGACTGTAGGCGGTGAGGCAGGCAGGCCGGGCCATGTTGAGTTTAGTTTTTATAGCTGCTGGGCCAGACATGCAGCTGATTCAGCCCGTCTTCCCCGTTCAGGATGAGTAACAGCAGGGCTTCACACAGTGTCTTCTCTCGGCACACGAAGACTACACACAGACAGACAGTTCATGTTTTAATTGGGTCCTCTCTGACTCCTCAGTCTGCATAGTTTGTCGCTCTGCTGTCACTTGAAACCTTAATCCCAAATAATCAGAATGCCTTTATTTGTCCCACAGAGGGGACATGTACATTGTTAGGGCAGAAAAGAGCCAAAGACAGCTTACTGTTACCTAAAGCATGCATACAAAAGTATTACAAATACACATCCTGTAACAGTTCTGAGGATTTCGCAGCCAGGTATATCTTGCATTAACGGCATATATATATTGCACATATTGCACATAGTTGGTTGGTATTTAACAACTGTAAGTAATACACTAATAAGAATTCCTTTATTCGTCCCAAAGAGGAGAAATGTACTTTGTTACAGCAAGTAAAGAGATAGCTTAATATTAATTATGGAGCATGCATAACATATAAAATATAAGAAAATAAAAGAAATAGAAATGACACATCCAGTACCAGGAACAGTTGAGATAGCAGGTGATAGTATTAGAGATTGTTGTTACAGTAACGGATGGACTTACTAAGAAGTTTTAATATAAGCGAGGAACATATTGCACACAAAGGTTGTTCTGATACTGAAGTGAATGGGTATGGGTCCAGTTGGTCTGCAGCAGATGAGCCCTCCGTCAACAAAAGAGAGAATGAGGCGTCAACATCAATAGGTGTCAATCAGCATCTGTGTTTTGTCTCACACACACACACACACACACACACACACACACACACACACACAGCACCAGCATGAAGCCTCTGTCCTGTTTCACACCTCTGTGTTGACCCAGGAGGGAGATGGAGAGCCATGAACAGGCTGGTCCATCTGCTCAGAACAGTCACACACACACACACACACACACACACACACACACGTTGTGACACCCTGGTTTGCAGCACGTCCACACATTAGCTGCTCCATCAGGCCTAACACCTTAACTTTTTTTTCTGTGCATGTGTGCAGCAGCTGTGTAGAGTCTGTGGGTTCAGGTGTGCTTCTCCCTCAGCCATGTGTGCATCCGCCTGTCTGGGTGAATCTCTCCCGATGGTGCGCACACATGAATGAAAAGGAGACAACAGTTTGATTGTGGCTACGTCCACACCAATATGCTTAAAATAAATATTGTTTGTTGGGAAAAATGTGACGAATAAAGGAAGAAATGATTTGTTTCATAGATCCAGTGGTGTTTAGTAACTAAGTACATTTACTGAGGTACTACTTTATTGAGTATCTGCTTTGTACTTCTACTCCACTTCAATTCAGAGGTACATCGTGTAATTCTACTCCACTACATGTAGTTAATACCTTTAGTTACTTCACAGATGTGGATGAATGATGTGAAATATAATCAAGTGTTAAATCTTTAGTTCCACCTGGAGTAAATCCACAAGCTACCCTGCAGTATACAAAGTCATTCAAACTAGCTGCACCTTTACCAGCTTTGAGAACACTTTCATGATCAATAAGAAAAGCCAAAGGCCCCTTAACCAATTCGGGTTATCAAATAAGAAAATACATGCGAGTTCATGGCTACTGTAGACAACGTTCTTGTTGCTCTGTGTTGCGTTGTTAATGAGTGAGACACACCGGAGTTGAGGATCTGTGGGGTTTATTCTCCCAAAAATATAATTTAGGCATTTAGAAGATGCCCTATTCCAAAGCGACTTCCAATGACCGATTACAGGGACATTCTCCCTGGAGTAACTGAGGGCTAAGTGCCTTACTCAAGGGCACACTAGTAGTGGTGTTCCAGGCGGGATTTGAACTCGCAACCTTCCGATCATCAGCCCACCTCACTATCCGTTAGACCACCAAAGAAAAAAAAGATTTAAAAAAAGAAAAGAAAAAAATAATAATAATTTTTTTTTTTTTTACGAGATCCATTTGTGGCGGACGATATTTATTTGTGGCGGCCCGCCACAAATAAATCAATGTATGGGAAACACTTCATTATAAGACATATCATATATATTATTCTGAAATGGACCAATCTGCACAATGACTACTTTCACTGTCGCTACTTTCACTATATTTTGATGAGAATACTTTTCTACTTTTACTTGAGGAACATTTTGAATGCAGGACTTTTACTGTAACAGAGTATTCCTACACTGTGGTACTTCTACTTTACTCAAGTACAAGATCTGAGTACTTCTACTTTTACTCAAGTACAAGACCTGAGTACTTCTACTTTTACTCAAGTACATGATCTGAGTACTTCTACTTTTACTCAAGTACAAGATCTGAGTACTTCTACTTTTACTCAAGTACAAGATCTGAGTACTTCTACTTTTACTCAAGTACAAGATCTGAGTACTTCTACTTTTACTCAAGTACAAGATCTGAGTACTTCTACTTTTACTCAAGTACAAGATCTGAGTACTTCTACTTTTACTCAAGTACAAGATCTGAGTACTTCTACTTTTACTCAAGTACAAGATCTGAGTACTTCTACTTTTACTCAAGTACAATATCTGAGTACTTCTACTTTTCCTTAAGTACAAGATCTGAGTACTTCCCCCACCTCTGCATAGGTCCTCGGTCTCTGTCTGTCAAGAATCGACGCTAGGCATAAACCCAGCAGAACTAACATGTTTTCAAACTCCAACCCTGAAACTGGCCAACATGTTGCCCTTTCCCCCACTGTGAAACCAATCAACATATTGGCTGTGGTTTCCCCCCTCCCAGTGGAATTGAATATACAGGTTTTAGTTCAAGCATTTGCCTGAGTGTGTCACAAGCCCCCCACCATTGATATTCTAATTGATCACCTCCCCCAGCTGATCAGCCTGATTCTGTTTGAAGCAAAGGGCACAGCCACTCACAGCTGAAACTGCTTTGATTATTATTTCACAAGAAACGGACAAGTAATAACGACGTCGTAGTTTTATCAGTATATTAAACAAGCAGTGGTTTTAATACCTGATGCGAGACCTGACATGAGATAAGACGACATAATCCCTCTTTTGTGTTCGGGATGCAAAGGTGATTTGATTTGACTGTATTACTCGTGATCAAAAAAGAGGGGACATAATAAGAATTGATAAGTAACAACTGTAACCATTTCTGCAAGCTATAGAATATGATAAATATGCTGTGATGTCAGAGATTTAAAAACGGTGGAAAGCAGGGTTGACGAGATAAAAGGCCATTTTAATTACATTTTTAAAATGCATTAAAACATCAATAAAGAAACATCTTTTAATTGTTTAGGCTGTAATGGTAATCAAAAAGTATTTCCACAGAAGTTGAACTGTTGAAAAAGTACTATTTTATATTTTTTGCAACACTTTAAAACCCAAATGTGAGGACAGGTCCATCTTTATTCCCCTCAAATATTAAAAATATGAATGCAAGTCATACATTTCTCAGCTTTCACTGCAAACCTTCACCCAGCTCCAGGAGTTTCAGTATTTTTCCAACCCGTATCAGAGATGTTTTGTGTCAACTTCATTTAGTAGAAAGCTTTACTCGTGATCTTAGAAATTCTCACTACTGTTTGAGTCTTAGTGGACGGATCAACAGAGCCTGCGGGCAGCTTCCCCCCACCCCACCCCTGCACCCCACCCCTGCTTCCCCCCACCACCTCCACATAAACCCGATCCCACATCATATCCAGCCATGAAGCTTGCTCCTCCCTGTCTGAACTCTCAGTATAAAGCCCTCCCTCTCCTAGTCCACCTCAGAACAAAGTTTAGAAACAGTGTGAGTGAGTTTAGCCCTGACTGAGGGGAGCAGAAACCTCACATGGAGAAGGTTTATTTATGTATTTAACTCACCGTCTCCTTTTTCCTCTCGGATGTGGATTACTTGAAGCTGACTCGTCAAAGGATTAAAAAAAGGATATTGTGTTTTTTATTGAAAGCTATGGTGGCTTACGATGAACTGGGTAGCTTGGTGCCTATCAAACGGACTCTGCAAGTGATAGACTACCAGAACCAAGCCAGCAAAGACTCAGAGGTGAGCAGCACACATGCACAATTGTGGTGATATTTCTACTTTTAAGATGTTTTAACACGAATGTCCTTTAAATGGAGTCATGCTCTTGTGTCAGATTGCGAGTGAATCAGCGCCTATCCCTGTTTTTATCTCACCTATTCACACACGGTGTTTGTGTGTGTGTGTGTGTGTGTGTGTGTTCTTCTAAGGTGAACTTTGTGCCTAGGCTGAGGTTTGAGATACTAAAGTTAATCATTGAGTTTCACCGCACCTACGAAAAGGTTAACAAGTCGATTGACCTCTCTTAGGGGTTGTGTATTCCCTGTCTTCTTCTTAAATATGCATCCCAGCAGAGGTGGGATATGGACACAAACAATGAAGCAGCAGGGGGTAAACTCCCAGTCAGCTATACAGGTCTACAATTACTTTGTTTCTATTGACCTCTGACATTAGAAAAAGCCACTTATCTGTCATGCAAATGCAGCAAAGCACCCTGAAAGCATTCCTTAAGCTGCAGAAACAGGTGTGGAAACCAAGGTGTGCTACTTAAAAAAAAAAAATCACAGCTTTAGCTACTTCCTTTATCTTTTAAGGCGTGCATTGTTCCCTTTTGGATTTCAGGAAGATGTGCTTTCATTGACAGGAAACCACTTGATAAGAGAGAAGTCAATTCAAGAAGTGAGTCCTGTTCTTCAATGAACTGCACAAATGATTCACTCTGAGTTTCCACATTGTGCTGACTTGCCGATGACCTCGACGCATTCGTTTGCGGTGTGACTGTTCTGGTCTCCTATCGGCTGTTATCCCAGGGTCACATCTGGCATATTTGCTCACCAAAGTGAGATCAAAGGGAGAGCACTTTGGGGGGAAAACTCCTGACATTTAAAGGGTTGTAATCTTGGGTTAGAAGTTGAAAAGAGTGCACCACACATGGACAATACGTTTGTCTGGAAAGGGGTTCCTCTGATAATCAAAAGCAGCAGCTCCAACCCCGGATCTGTCTGGTTTCCTGAAGTCATCCAGACTCAGCGTAACTGTTTGGTCAAACTGCCAGGAATAGCAACTTTCCCTGTCCGTCTGCACTGCTTCACTTTACTACAGATAAACAAAGACTGCGACTAGTGGTCTTTTGTTATTCTGGGGCCAGTTCACAAAGCACTACTGACATTCAGGACACTGTTTTTTACAATACTTTCTTTTGTCTACTGAGATTTAAAGGTCCCAAGTCAAAACCCTGTCCCTGCACGTGGTACAGAGTCAAAGCTCTTTTTCCTGGCCCCTGCCACTAGAGGGCTTTTGCAAAAATCCTCAACGCTTTCTGTCTGCAGGCTGAGGCTGCATGGCCTCCGCAAACCAGACGGAGTGGATCTGTTTCCCAGCTGTGTCCGCAGAGCCTAAAAAGCCTTCAATGGCTGCTCTGTTTCCCAGATTCGCTAAGCCAAGGCAAAACCCCATTTGGCCTGAGTCAGGAGAAAACATATTAGGCCTTTTTAGCGGTGCGGTGTTCATTTCAGAGCCTTCATTAGTGTGAAGATCTGGATTGCAGGGGGTGTAATCTTCAGAAATGCTAATTATGGCTGTGGCTGTCTCGCGGTGTTTTTTAGAAGAGGCTCTGAAATCATTACCTTCATTTCTGTGTCTGTTATTGTTGGAGCGAGGCCAAGCACTTCTCTTCTTTCTGACAACCTCAGGGCTGAGTGAGGGAGGGGGGGGGGGTCCAGGTGTAGTGCTGCTCTCACGCGAGGCCTTTTCAGAGAGCCTGTCTGAACTCGCAGCCGTTAAAAGTGCAGTGAACGCTGTGTAAACACTTCAAAAGGGGCGCATTCACCGTCTGTTTATGACTGCCGTGGGGGTCTTTTTTACTCTTGACACACTGTCCCTACTGCTTTTAAAGAGCTGGAGCAATAAGGAAGCATACAAAATGCTGATTGAAGCAAGAGCAATCTAAAGACCCCACCCCCCCCTGTTTAATTTGGCTTTATTAAATGCTAAATATATATTCAGACGATAAACAGTTGTAGACAAAAAGGGAAGCATTGATCACACACTGTTTAAGTTAAAGAACAAATCCACCATCAGGGGAGTTGTAGCTGTTGTCAGGTCAGTAGCAGAGTGTGTGTGTGGGGGGGGGCGGTGTTGAACAGCTGAGAGAAGGGTCTCGTGCATTCCTTGAATTCCTCCAGGCCCTCCTTCCCCTCCGTATCAGAGTCAGAAAGGCTCTTTGTGCTCGGAGTCTCTTCACATGATGGAGCCAACAGCTGCTGGATCTGCTTCTCACTTTTTCTGTCCGTCCGCCAGTCTGTCTGCCGCTGCTCGACCTCGGCTCAGGCTTCTCTTGTTTCCTCGCCCCAAAGAGAAGTCAATAATGAGGATTTATGGCTTGACTTGGTGTGTTTTATCACAAGGAAGTCACAAGGGAGCGTCTGGACTCACTGCTTAGGTCTGAAAATGGCATCACTGATCGATTCGTTCAGGGTTGTTGCGTGGAGAATGAACATTTCCGACTTTTCAATCGGAGCTTTATTGGCGTGACCATATCAAACCATAGTATACCAACTTTTACGACAACGAAATAAGAACAGTAAAGATACATGTGGCACAACAGCAACAAAAAACTAATCTGATTTTCTCTCTGTTTTTGCAGGAACCCAGCACAAAGCGTGTCCGTCCTCTCGGCAGGGTGACGTCGCTAGCCAATCTCATCGCTCCGGTGAAAACTGGGGCCGTCCGGCGCTTCGGCCAAACCATCCAGGTAAGCTCCCGTTACATCTCGTAGAAAAAGGGAGCTCCTTGGGGCAACTAAACAACCGTGGCTTCGAATTGCAACATGTCTGACTTCTGGGGTTTCCTGTTTCCGTTCTTCAGGCCTCTTTTCGGGGCGATGGCAAGTCGCCGGGCGTTCCCCAGAAGCCTTGCAGTAAGGCAGCGGCCCCAACACCGCCCAAAAGGAGGAACAGCATGCTGTGGTCGGAGACTCTCGACGTCCACCAGAAGGGAACTTTCTCCACCAAAGAAATCAAGCGGCAGGAGGTGAGAATCAGCACCGAGACATGAACTGTTGAGGATTAATAGGAAGTCAGAAATCCAGACAGTGGTGAACCCTCCTGTCTAGCAGACTAGCTTCACATATCCCTGCAGTATTTGTGTCAAAAAAAGCCTTCCTGTGCTCATTTCCCAGTCTGTGCGAGGTTCACATTCACCTGAGAAGCTAACAAACTAGCGCCTACACACCCACTTGTCCTGCATATGTCAGACATCTTAGCCAACTGTTAGTATAGCTTTAAAGAGTAAGCAGGAGAGGGAGAGACTTCAAATTGACCTCATTCATTGGCAGCAGTGCGGTTTAACATTTAGTCTATCAGTTGCTGTAACGTAATGACATCTTGATTTATGTGTTTTGCTTAAAAACTATCTTTTTGTGCTCCTTCCTCAGGCCATATTTGAGCTGTCTCGTGGAGAACAGGACCTGATCGAGGACCTCCAGCTCGCACGCAAGGTTTGTTCTTTAACATCGCAGAGAGAGTACACATTACACAAACAGATTAAATCAAAGTCTGGCAGGCCTTCAGCACAGCCAAGCCAGCAGCTATTAAAAGACGAGGACTTATTATTCTGTCTTTTCTCTTGTACTGCTCTTCACAAGCTATTATTAGCCTTTTTGGGATGTATTGTATTTGACGTTTTGGCTCTCCTCTCGTACACAGGCGTACCACGACCCGATGCTGAAGCTCTCCATTATGTCGGAGGAGGAGCTCAATCATATTTTCGGAAACCTGGACGCTTACATCCCTCTGCATGAAGATCTCCTTGTGCTCCTGTCAAAAGCCACAAAGAAGGATGGGACTGTGGGACAGATCGGACAGATTGTAGTGGACTGGGTAAGATTTCTATCAAAACAATTAACGTGACCCTTTATGAACACACAGTTAGAAATACACTACATTTATACAATATTGTACATTCAAAGTAAATTTAGACAGTACCGACAATATGTAATTATTTGTTACAAAACGCACCTTTTCTTTGTATCCTAATTACGTAATCCTGTTACTTGTAATCCATTGCCTGGTTTCCAGTGAGAAAGACAGCCTTATTAAGTGTTTCATCTTCCCTCCAGATGCCAAGGCTAAACGCCTACAAAGACTACTGCAGTAACCAGCTGGCCGCCAAGGCGCTTCTGGACCAGAAGAAGCAGGACCGGCGGGTTCAGGACTTCCTGCAGCGCTGCCTCGAGTCGCCTTTCAGCAGGAAACTAGACCTGTGGAGCTTCCTGGACATCCCTCGCTCCCGCCTGGTCAAATACCCTCTCCTGCTTAAAGAAATCCTGAGACACACTCCAGCAGAACATCCAGACGCCGCCAGCCTGGAGGAAGCGGTAAGTCAAACGCAGAAACAGAAAAAGACGGGGGAAAAAACAGATGGTTGTTAGTAGAAACCAGACACAGATGGTTGATAGTAGAAATTAATATTTGGACTCCTTGTGTTTTGCAGATCACCATCATGCAAGGTGTGCTTTCCGACATCAACATGAAGAAGGGAGAGTCTGAGTGCAAGTATTACATCGACAAGTTGGAGTATCTGGACGACCGGCAGAAAGACCCTCTCATCGAAGAGTGCAAGAGCCTGCTGTGTCACGGAGAGCTGAGAAACAAGAGCGGCACGGTAAGAAAAACACTTACACATAATTATCAAGAACATTACATCCCATATAAAGCATTTAGACTGTAACTGCTCCTAGGGTTAACCGTATGAGTATTCACTTTGATCACACCTTCCAGAAATCTTAGTAAATAGTTTTAATTTCTCCAAACAATATTTTAGACCTTTTTTTAAAGTTTTACATTTTTATATTCTAAAATCTATCTATCTTTTTTTAGGTATCATAAAGCAGCACTTTTAGGTGAAGTTAATTGAAGATTTGAGCATTTTAATTAGGCATAAAGGAGGATCGTCCCTGAAACTGATGAGATGTTAGATCACACTTTCCAGAAATCTAAGTAAATGGTAACGCAAAATATCCTGATTTTAATTCCCCCTTGTTTTTTTGTTTTCCTTCCAGAAGCTGCACGTGTTCCTGTTCACCGAGCTGCTGGTTATGACCCGACCAGTCACCAGGAACGAACGCCAGTGTTTCCAGGTTTACCGTCAGCCACTCCCGGTGCACGATCTGGTTCTGGAGGACCTGCAGGACGGAGATGTGAGGATGGGCGGATCCTTCAGAGGCGCTTTCAGCAACGCAGACAAAGGTGAGGCTCGGATTCATTCAAGGTTTCAAGGCTTTATTGTCATTTGTACATAGCTACAGTGTAGATATGGCAATGAAAAACTTAAGTCACAGGCTCCTCTATACAGTGTATGTATAGGACATAGAACAAATAAAAACAGTGCAAGAGAATGTTTGGAGATGTGCAAGTAAATACAAATAAAATGGTGCAAGAAGAGTACAAGTAAATGGGATGATATATTGGATCATTAATTAGCAAAATGCAATCAGTTGAATGCATAATGTGTGTGTGGTTCAAGATTCAAGGCTTTTATTGTCATTAGTACATAGCTACAGTATAGATATATCAATGAAAATCTTAGGTCACAAGTTCCTCCAACAGTGCAACACAATAAAACAGATACAATAGTTATGAGTAAACTAAATGTAAATAAAAATGCCGGGCAGTTAGTGGGTAAAGACTTGGGTTTTGTCAATTATAGCAGTTAGCTAACTCCATTTTTTCCCCCCCTCTTTCTCCTCAGCTAAGAACATTTTCCGAGTGCGATCCCCAGACCCGAGCCAGGCGCAGTCGCACACGCTGCAAGTCAACGACATTTTCCACAAGCAGCAGTGGTTGAATTGCCTCCGCAGCGCCATCTCCGTCCACCGGCCGCTCGGCGAGCCCTCGACGCCGTCACCGCCTGCGAACGTCACCCGTTTCAAGCGCCGTCCTTCCTCAGTGTCGGCCATCGTACACATGGAGGAAGTGAACGAGAACTGCCCTCAGCGGACGACTCAATCCGCCCCCTGCTCGCCTAGCAACAGCACAAACCCCAGTCCCACGACGCCCCCTTCCTCACGATCGTCGTTGTCATCTTTGTCGACCACATCATCAACCTCGCCTCTTTCCTTAATATCCACAACGAACAAATCAAAAAAGGACAAGAAGTCTCTCTGTTCGTTAGGGAAGAGAAAAGAGACTATGGTGTGAATCGAGGAGATAAAGAAAGGACTCCTTGGTGGACATTTTGTTCTTTTTGTAAGACAACGTGGAGAAGTGTGGGACTTGTATTTATGTGTTATGTGTGCGTATTATTATTATTACAACAGTGTTCTGTGTTACTGTCCTCTTCGGCAGCTATTTACTTTACCCCTCCATCCAAGTGCATCCAAGTATTGTGGAGAGATGCACAGCTTCCACCAGTTAAAAAATAAAAAGGGAAGCAAACACACACATTTCACACATGTATCTGTGTGTGTCTTGAGTGTGTTGATTTCTTCAAGATAGAGGTGGTGCATTCAATCTTGTTTACTATTAATTTGATATTTAAACATTATTTTAGACCTTTTCGGGGGGGCTAATGACAGTTTTACATTTTTATATTCTAAAATCTATTGTAGTATTTTTTTAGGTATCATAAAACAGCACTGTTTTAGCTTTTTAGGTGAAGTTAATTGAAGATTTGAGAATGTTAATTAGGCGTCCCTGAAAATGGTGAGATGTACTACACAAAGATATACAAATTATCTGTTAAATTCTGATTTTAGATTAATCAGATGACATGTCTTATTTTTATACATTCCTTTAATGACAGATGTTAAAAACCTGGACACTTATTTTTATTTTTATGCATATACTGCCATCAGAGGCATTTATTTAAATCCAGAGACAGATGCAGTCTCTGTTTGAACAAATATCACAATGAAAAATAGTGGTAGCAAATCATCTTTATGTCAAATCATGTCGGGAAGAGATGAGGAGTTTTGTTTTGAAACAAAATTTTGAACTGAGCCATGTTGGTTTTCAAAAAGCTGACTTTTCAAAAATGAAACAGATCACTTTTGAGTGTACAGTAGAAATTTGCATGGAGATTTATTTGTGAACACTACAGTAGCAGGATGTATTTACCTGTCCTAGGAAATGGACAGATTATAAGTAAAAGACTGGTTAGAAATGGAAATAAGAAAAGGTTGTTGAAGGCTGAAGAGAAAAGAGAACAGATGGATAAAAGAAGACTGAAATAGATGGACAGGGCAAGATATTAAACTTGTTGAAGTGATATATTGCTCAGAAGGATAAAAGGTGGTTAAAATACCACGAGTGAAGTTGGAAAAAAGTATGTAGGGGAAGGAGGAGAAAATAAAAGGTTTTTGGATATGTGCATAATATGAGAAGAAGTAAAAGAAAAGGGCAACTCGCTTTGCTACGAACTGTATGTATTTAAAGAACAATAAAGATCTGTGTAAGATTTGCAACTGAACTTCTGGTTTCATGTCTTTATGTTTTTGCCTCATTTACTGATTTAAAAAAGGTGATTTCTTTTCACATGAACATTGAAACTAGTCTGACGTCTTGAGCTAAATCCTGAGCCATTAGCCGTTTAGCTTAGCTTAGCAAAACAACTGAGCAGATCACACAAATCATGTTCATACCAGCACATGTAAAGCTCACGAATCTAAAGGTATTATGTAATTTGTTTACTAAGTTTAAAGACAATTAGTGGATTTAGCTGGAGTCATTGCTTGTTTATCCTTTTAAGTTTTGGATTAGCTCGTAAACTAGCTGTTTCCTTGCTAATGGTCGTTAGCATGAAAACTGGCAGCCATTTGTTTTAGCTTAAATTAAATTGACAGGCTCAATTTGAATGCCTAACTAAATGAAGAGATGCCTGAAACGCAAATAAGTGTTAATGTTTTTGCCTCAATTACTGATTTAAAAAATGTTATTTATTTTCACAAGAACATTGAAACTAGTCTGACGTCTTGAGCCATTAGCCGTTTAGCTTAGCTTAGCTTAGCAAAACGAATGAGCAGAGAGAACCTGCTTTGTCTAAAAGTAATTCATGCACATACCAGCACCTGTAAAGCTCACTAATCTAAAGGTATTATGTCATTTGTTTACTGAAGTTTAAAGACAAGTAGTGGATCGTTTCTGCTGGTTAATACTTAAGTTTTGGATTAGCTCGTAAGCTAGCTGTTTCCCTGCTTTCGGTCATTAGCATGAAAACTGGCATTCATTTATTTTAGCTCAAATTAAATTAAAAGGCTCACGGTTTTTCATGCTAAACTAAATGAAGAGTTACCTGATACTCTCAGCCAGAAAGCAAATAAGTGTTTCCCAAAATGTTCCTAAAAAGGAGATACGCCTTGATTTATGACCGTGCTTAAAGTTCTCCTAACTAAACAGTATGTTGGTGCCAAGAGAAACATTTCCAAAACAGGATTTAGTTTTTCAACCTATTCTTTATTAAAAGAAAAGCTCCACTTTGTCAGGTCTGTGATTTTCATTTGGATGACCTGACAAACGGTCCAAAAGAGCCTCTTAAATGTTTTAGTTACAGATTGAAGGATTTAAAACGGGAATGTAATGTGTAGCTGTGATGATTAAAGCAGGCCTTAGTAAAGTGATCACTTGGAAGAAAGTAAAGTCAGACAGCTTCATTTTAGCCATCACTGGGCTTTTGAAGTGTGTTCGAACTAGGCAGATTTCCATCCCTTTTATTTTGTATCTTGGCAGTAAAAGGGTCTCGAGACTGCCTCAGTTATCATTCTCCAAACATTTGCTCATGCTCTCCCCACACTCATTTACTTTAATGGAAGTTGAACATGTACCAGTAATATTGTAGGTGAAGTTGGAGCTGCTGAGTTCCTCTGCAGCAAAGCAGCTCCACAACATATTTTCTTTAATTTAACATAATGAAGTTAATGTGTATTGCACTATGTGATGGATGCAGGATAATGACTTCATCATTTCCAACATATCAAGTCTTTCAAGTATTAAAATGCTGGCCTATTTAAGGATAATTTCGTCAGTTTATTTTACAAATAAGGCTTAATCTTTCTTGTGTTATCCCTCATTTGTTATCAATTATGGAGAAACTGTACTCATCAACGTATGATGGATACACAACATTTGACACTATGTCTTTTATTTAGATATTTATCGACATACATCGTTTTTTTCATTTTTTCCGGGTCCTATGTCGTTTTTGGGGGGATTTTCTTCAACATATTATACTTTTTTGTTTCTTGTGTAAAATACTACAGCATGACACTCTCTCCAGAAACATCCCTCTCAGCAGTTCATCGATTGAAGATCTTTGGGAGGGATTACTGACGGACACAGACAGCTGAGTCTCCTGTCAGTGATCCGTCAAAAACACATCCTTTGACACCCGTTTGTCTCCCACCACCAAAACTAAAATCTACAAAAACAAACCCTGACAGCCCTCGAGTCATTATGAAGCATCAGATAAAGGAAGCAGAAACTTCCCTTACTGATCTGACACTTTTACCGTAACCATAATGTGGAAGTGACCTAATTCTGGGTGCTTGCCAATGTGACAATGAGCTGAGGTGGCAGGATTCACTTTTGTTCATTTTAAGGAATAAAGTATATTTCTCAAGTATGCTGTGTTCATTGCTTTGGATTTTCCAAATGACAAATCAACACCAAATTGAAGTCAGCATTTGTCATGAAGGCCAAACTGTTTTATTTCAGTCTCTCAGTCGGTCACATGACTCCTTTGGGCCAAAAAAGACGTTCCCACACACTTCAACTTGAAAAGAGACGTTTGTAAATCAGCAGATTGTTTAAAGTAAATCAGATACCTGTGTGAGCCCTTGAACAGCCTTTTTAAATCATTAGGTCCTTGGAAAAGGTAGAAATAGCCAAATCCAGAGTTATTTTTAAAGGAAACCCTTGTCTTCTTGCTCTAAGGAAGCAGAAGATTAACATATTCATGTTTAATCAATTATGCAAGATAGACCTAAGCATGTAGTTCATTTGATCTGGAAAACAGTTATTTTATTTGACTGATAACGACATAAATATCTTGTGATCTTGAGAAAACTCATGAACTTCTTATGGTAAAAGGTGGTTTGAAAAGGCTTAAAGTATCGATGTGCAGGGATTTTATAGTTTAATTCTTTCAATCATTTTTATAGTAATCTGTCCTGTTAAAAGAAGGGGATCATTTCGGTGGTTAAAACCGCCTTGCCAGCGAAGGCTATTACAGACTAAGTGGGTGACATACAAGGACTATTGTAACCAAAATGGTCGGTTAAACAGCTGGAGAAAAGCAACCTCTGCAACATATTTAAATGAGCACAACTACACACAACCACTTGTTGTAGAGGCTCTGTTGGACACGTGGGCAATGAATTAATTCACTCATGGCTCATGCATGATAAAAAGGCCACACATCCCCCACACAAAGGGGAGATAATATAAAGAGGGATTGTCTATGAAGACAAGAGCTAGCTTACTTTGTTTGCAATTGTACTGTGCAATAGGCACTTTAATGGGAAATTATACATTTAAAAAAAGCCCCAACATGTCATTTTTATAAGGTCTCAATACTTTTTCTGATTCTGATTACAAGATGTGTTGCTTTTCCTTATCTTCTAAGGTTTCTGTTTCACTTAAACATCCTTTTCTTAATCAGTCAGATGCTAGGAGGCACTGGAAACTCCCTGGATATGAAATTTAAGGATCAGTTTACCAAATTAACACCCACTAACTAAACAAACTCAACGTGAAATCTGACCAGTGATAGCGCTCGGGGGCATCTTCAGAAGACTGGAGGTCAAGCAGGTTCACAGCACTCCTCCATCAAAACCTGGACTCCATGTTTATGTCAAAATACACTCGGTTGTGCTCGTCCTGACAGATCGGCAACGTGTTCAGTCATCACTCACACACCGTCGAAAGGAGCTGTCGGCTCAATGTGCTTTACTCTCTGACAAATATCACTTTGTCTCGTGGATTTCCTTTTGCCTCAGGTGACGACATGTGAGTGTGGGAAAGAGGATTCCTTAATGGCTCACTAACATAGTTTCTAAATGAGGATTTTCTCTCTGAGATTTTACATGAAACAAAAGCAGGTTTTTATCTCATAAACCGCAGTGTTGTGAATAATTGTAACAAGTTTTTCAATAGGGCCTCACAGGGGAAGTTATGTTAGCAGTATTTCTGTATAAGTAACTTAACTGCATCACAATGACTCGTTTTCACCTTTGCTACTATACAATGCGAATTTGATGTTTTCCCCTGAGGCTAACGAGTGAAAAAAGCTCCACATCAAACCAAAGACAAACATCAGCTAACCTAGCCTTTGTGTGCAATGTGCCTATTCCAGTTAAAGGAAAGTGGAAACAAGTGTGTGTGATGTTCAGTAAAATAGCATCCTCCAAGATATTGCTTTCTGTGTCAGCCTTTCATTTCCTCTTAGAGGCCCAGGGCTTTGTGGGCATAAACACTGACCGCTAACTCTGAGCTAACTGGAGTTTTGCTTGGATGTCAGTAATGCCAACGTTTTCCCAAGTCTTTGTGAGTGAGTAATCTCTCTTTATGTTATGATGTTGGCTAAGTAAAGCGCTTCAGAAAACATCACTGCCAAGAGGTGTATAATAACTCCCAAACAAAGGGTAATATAGCACCTTAAAACCTGCATTTTTCCATGAGTGAGAGCAGTTACATCTGGAAGGAATGCTTTCATTTGATTTCTCTTCAACAGGAATCTGCTCCACATTCACTCACAGATTAAGTCTAAAATAGTGACCTGGCATCCTCTGTGCTTGCCTCACCACACTGACTCACCCCCTCAGGTATTAAATACTCTTCGGGTGAGCGCTTTGTTTTAAAATATGTCACCGGATTGTTTACTGTTCTCTTAAAAGAGATTAGCGGAGCAAACCAAGCTCTCTGGTCCAGATGAAACCAGAGAAACTCAGATTGGACTGAGAGTGTGTTACTCTGCTTTCTGACTGCACCACAACCCATAAAAGGTCCTGCAATTTTCCAAGTCTGCATCAGGAGCCACACTTCATTTCCCATGTGAGACGACTTCCTGGCTCCGTGCTTTGGTATAGTTTGATATCAATAAATATTCTCCTGTGGGAATTACAGCAGCAACATTCCCAGGTAATAGCTTTGGTTATGAAACTCTTCCATGCAACGCCATTACAGGAGACCAAATTCCTTGGAAATAGTTGGACCCTTTACCATTAAGTACAGGGATACCATTATACCTTTAATATTCAGATAGCGTGACCACACTCAATGTAATTACAGGTTACCGTTTACAGCATGTTGGGAGGACCTGCCTCCTGACTCACCGAGGTGAGAACAGACATTTACCTCACCGAGATATTATGTCAGAACATGCGTGTGTCTGTGTTCATACTTCATATGAAAGCAGGATTTGCAAAGTGATTTGTGAGTGTTTTGAGTGACATCAGCATATTATACTTAAACATT